GCAGTGTTGTCCTTGAAGAGACAGCGCACGAAGTAGAGCGGCGGCACGCGGCCCAGCGGGCTCCCCGCGTTGATGCTGATGGCTCCGCCCCCCAGGATGGGCGCCGTGTTGCTCTGAAAGGTGCAGCGCGAGAAGAAGCGGTACGGAGGGGTGGCTGTCCCAGGGAAGGAGTCGCTGTGGGGTTGGGAACAGGGAGAGGATGGGGGATCGGGGAGGAAGAGGAAGGGGAATGGGAGATAACGGAAAGAGGGTGAGGAAAGGGAAGGAGGGCAGGCAAGCGGACGGGGAGGGAGGGCAGGGAAGGAGTCTTTGGAGGGTTGGAAACAGGGAAAGAGAAAGGGGAGGGAAGGGGAGAGGACGGGGTGAAGGTGGAGGGTAGGGAGATTGGTTGAGTGAGTGGTGGTGAGTGGTGGTGAGTGGTGGTAACCAGCAACCAGCAACTGATTTTGAGGAGCCTCAGGAAAGGAGTGGACCGGGGGACAATCGAGGGTAGGACACAGGGTGAGTGTGAAGAGAAGCGAACAGTGAGTGACTGTTGCACAGCAGGCAGCACAACAGGCAGCACAGCAGGCGGCATAGCAGCAGGCATAGCTGACCCGCTGACTGACACTTCAATAAGCTATCTGTCAAAGCAACACGCTTCCCTCACCTGAGCACCCGCTCACTCCCTCACCCCCTCACTCTCTCACCCCCTCACTCCCTCATCCCCTCACTCCCTCCCCCCCTCACCCCCTCCCCCCCCTCACCCCCTCCCCCCCTCACCCCCTCACTCCCTCACTTCCTCACCCCCTCACCCCTCACTCCCTACCCCCCCACTCTGTCACCTGAGCACCCCTCCGCCAATGCCAGGAGCCGTGTTGCTCAAGAACACGCATTGACTCGCGTTGACCGCCGCCCGCACGTTGAATAGGACGCCTCCTGCCGCTCGCTGGAAGTTGAGGTTGACCAGAGTCAACACCCCCCCCGTGGGGCCGGACGAGGGGGAGGTGAATATGGGGAAGGCGCCACCCCCGCTGATGATGCACCTGGTGATGTTGGGAGAGGGGAGAGAGGGGGAGAGAAAGGGGGAGAGAAAGGAGGAGAGAAAGGGGGAGAGAAAGGGGGAGAGAAAGGGGGAGAGAAGGGGGAAGAGAAAGGGGGAGGGAAAGGAGGAGAGAAAGGAGGAGAGAAAGGAGGAGAGAAAGGGGGAGAGAAAGGGGGAAGAGAAAGGGGAAGAGAAAGGAGGAGAGAAAGGAGGAGAGAAAGGAGGAGAGAAAGGGGGAGAGAAAAGAGGAGAGAAAGGAACGGGGGTTGAAAGTCGTACGATAGAGGATGAGGAGGATTTGAGGTCACGGGGAGGATGGAGAGAGGGTGACGGGTAGAGAGAGAGCGGACGAGGGGGATGGGAAAGAGCTCATTGCATGTTATCAGGAACGGCACGAATTATGTGAGAACTTACCTGACGAATCAGCTGAGGAAACACATCAGAATCATCGCACCAGTGTCTGCTAAATTTCCATAAATTAACGAGCAATCATGGCAGCAGAAAGACGACAAAGCCGTTACAGTAACCCTTCTGTGTTACCAAACCTGACAGTCCCGCACCTTCTTCCGGATACCTGCTTCTGAGACCCGCGACGTGGTAACCCTACCAGGAACTGGTAACCCTGTACGAACCCATCTACCCTTTCCACGTAAGAATATTCAGCCACACAACCTGCCTGGTAACCCTATCACCAACATGGTAACCGGGTTACCAACCTGGAAGGGGCACACGCGCCCTTGACTGTCAGCTTGGCTGCGCCTGAGAGGGCGGGGAGGGGGCTGGTGGAGGAGAAAGCGAGGGAGACGGAGGGGGCGAGAGGGGGAGAGGGAGTGAGAGGGGGAGAGGGGGGGGAGAGGGGGAGATGGGGGGTGTGAGTCAAGTCAGAAATTGCCTGAGAGTGCGAGGAGGCGGCTAGGGGGAGAAGAGGTAGGGCGGAAAGAGAGGGGGGGGAAGGAGGTGCGGAAAGGAAGAGCAATACTGATAGCGAGGACGCTGTACTGATACGAGGTGCATGTGAACTCACGCTGTGAGCGCCACGTTGGATGTGAGGACGAGCACTGTAGGGGAAGCACTTGCGCCTCTCTGCATGCATGCCGCGTGGACGGAAACACACGCACACGCGCGCGCACACGACGGTCGCACACGCACATGCACACACGCGTACGCACAGAGAGGAGAGAGGAGACAAACGTTAACCCTAGCAGACGTTACATCTCAACCGTCCACGTGAGACTCCTACTCCACGCGAGATTCCTACTCCACGCGAGATTCCTACTCCACGCGAGATTCCTACTCCACGCGAGATTCCTACTCCACGCGAGATTCCTACTCCACGCGAGATTCCTACTCCACGCGAGATTCCTACTCCACGCGAGATTCCTACTCCACGTCCAGCCAACCCACAGACTGCACCAGCCGTAACTGAGCTTGTGGCTCGTCTGGTTCCCGAGTCGCCTTCATCCAGCTCCCCGCCCACCCCCGCATTCTACTCCCCCTTTCCCCACCCCATCCACCTCCGCGCTCCCCCATCTTACCCCATTCCCCTCTTCCTCCCCAACCGTCCTATCCCCAACCCCCCTCCATCCTCACGCCTCGCCCCATAATGCTTCAATTTCAACCATCTCATCCGCACAGACCCTCGAGTCAGCTCAAGAGCGCGCTTCCATCGGCGAGCAGCGTTGGCAACGCGCTTGCTAAGAACGGAGGACGCGTTATTTTTTATTTTTGGGTGGGACGGAAACGTTCGCAAGGGTAGCGCGTCTCGCTGTCGAGATGAGACTCGCAAGCCGAAAATCTGCTGTCAAGCGACTCGAGATCAAGCACGGATAAACGAAGGTTGGACAGAACGCGTTTCCGTCTTCCTACGAGACCAGGATCGCGAATACGACGTGGTTGCTTTTCGCCGATGAGTCTGCCTTCGCGAACGAGGAGGTTACGGTGTATTCGCGACGCCAGCTCAGTGAACAGGCACGCAATCTTTCGCGATAAACTTTTCGCCTGTACAAATTGCTCATTACGTAATAGGTTCTGAAAAAGAAACCCCTTTCACAGCGCTGCACACACTCTCTGCGACCTCAGCTCCTGGTTACACTCCGGGTAACACGGATTCATCTCTGGGTCGCATGCGCGAAGCCCAAGAGGGTTGTGAGGTACGAAATGCCTACCGAGCTCGCCTTGCTGATGGCGGCTTCCGGTTCCTACGCCGCGCGATACCTGCGGGATAGCAGCGCAATAAACGCAGCGCAGTATCCGCTGGGTAGCCGCGCGATGCTCGCGAGGCGTGACAGAGCATCTACACAATGACGCGCTACCATACGCACTGCTAGAGCACATACGAGTGCGCTATTATTGGTGCGCGGCCACAGCTATGGAAATGCGTACTGCGTATAGCTACGGTACAAAGTCAGCCGTACCGCGTTCGCCTTGTTAATGGCATCTTCCAGTTCCGACGCCGCGATAGCCGCGGGACCGCAGATTATTCCAAGGACTAGCGATGCGACGAGGAGGGAGGTGAGGTGTTGGCGTGCTGCGATTGGTTCGGCCATCCTGATTCTAACGACGGTAGCCGAAGACTATGGACTGAAAATAGTAGCAGACCAGGTATTTCTTGTGAGAATCAATGTTTCGCACTTCGATAATGTGCTCTACTGTAGAAGGAACTATCCTTCCTTGCTGTAAATGTAGAATACAGAACGTGAAACTCAGAACCGCAGGTCAAGACAGCTTTTTGTGCAAGATGGATGCTTGTTTACGGCTGCAAGAAACCCACACAGAGCAGCTGTAAATCCATACTTGTGTGAACAGAACCGCGCTCATCGCTCGAATTCGACACGCTGCCCCACTCGCGTGGTGGAGTCAGCTTCACTGCTGGGCTTGCAGTGATGCCTGCCTGGCACCACAGAACGAATGGCAGCTGTGGAAATGGTGCGAGTTTGAGGGAAAGGGAACGACGGTGGGAAGTTGGGAGTCAGGGGGAGGTGAGGAGGGGCGGTTCTATTCAACGAAACAGCTCCATCACAGCTCAAGATATTGGTGTTTAATTAAAATCAAGGTGTCCGAAATTTTTACTCTTTGCACCTGCCAAAATCGTACAGTAACTCATCAGACCGCTGACTAGAGGTGTAAAACCAATGTAAAATGGTGGTTCCAGTGGCGGGTACCCACCTAAGCGTTTCCCACTGTGCTGCTGAGTACAATAAAACCTTGACTCGCGACAGGAATCATCCCCATGTTGCAGGTCTGCAGTGGCTCCAAGTGAACACGCAATTTCAAGCCAACCGCAATAATCGCGTATACATCGCCAAAACCTGCGGCTTGAAAGCCAGGGGCGGTTTCAGGTGAGCGCCACGTCATCCACGGCTGGATCCAAACGCTCGTGTAACGTCATTGGTTGGCGCGGCCTTTCAAACCCCGTTTCGCACAGACGCCAGCTTCCCAGTAAACGGTGTCGGCTGAAACGATGTTTTTTTTGGAAATTTACACTCCATCATAACCAGCTGATAGGATACATGCACATAATCCATGAAAGAAAAATGAATCACACCTCCACACAATTGCAACCATTTTAGGTTTCCCGTTCATTGAAGCATATCAGTACATTCAAATTAAAACATCCTCATACTCCACGTATTTGGCATAGTAGCACATCTTTCAGATTCAAGGATAAATAACCCTGACTCCCACCCTTCCACAAACCAATAAAGCAAAGAAATTTAAAATCATCGTGTCATAGCAATACCGTACTGTAACTACCAATCAAACCACGTGTAAAATAGCGAAGTGGTACGTCCGTAAAGAAGACTTTGGTTTTGTGGCTGTGTTCCGGACGCCGTGCTGCACACCCAGAAGCAGCGGAAACAAGCCCGAGCTAGTGAGTGGTTCTTTGTTGAACTCTAACCAAAATAGTCCTCCACTACAATACACCAATACCAACTACCGTAGCTGCATGCAACACATCAGCACTCCATTTGCACCATCAGTATTCCACCTCGCACGGGTCTTCTTCTGTGCACCCCTTGATGCCATACTGCATGGTAAAACACCAAAGAGGGGAATGGAGAGAAATCAATATCGGGATGAGAAAAAAGTGGCCAGAGGAACTGATCCCCCGTCTCCCTGTATCGTAGCATAGGGCCTTGTATCATGAACATTTACCTCATGTGGCAGCCAGATAATGTGATCTGCATAACCGTGCTACTACATAAATGGTCCCACTGAACCACTTTTTCGCGGTTTGGTAGCACGCGATGTGAGGGCTACATCTGTTCCATCCAAACACTCGCCTGAACTTTTGAAAAACACACGCCTGAACTCTTGAAAAACACACGCCTGAACTCTTGAAAAACACATGCCTGAACTCTTGAAAAACACACGCATGGACTCTTGAAAAACACACGCCTGAACTCTTGAAAAACACACGCCTGAACTCTTGAAAAACACACGCCTGAACTCTTGAAAAACACACGCCTGAACTCTTGAAAAACACACGCCTGAACTCTTGAAAGCGCACCACTTCAAAGAAAGAGGTGAATCAACCACACCATGAAACGACACCTCCTCCATTAAAAGCACGCCCGTATATAGTGAAGCATGTTTGAGTGGCACAAAATATGCAGACAACTCGCACCCAGGTTTACAAAAGCAGATGATAGCCCGTATCATCTCACCTTACAAAAGCAGATGATAGCCCGTATCATCTCACCTTACAAAAGCAGATGATAGCCCGTATCATCTCACCTTGGTCCGTTTGCGTTCCTCAAAAGCAGCCTGGATACCCGGATGACCTGCCATAAGAATTCAAGCAACAAACACCACTCCACCATGCATGCACCCATCCACATGCATCGTCCATGCGCGACAGAACGATTTCATTACAGGTCCCTTGGTCAAGTGCAAGTGGATTTTTTTTTTTTCTAATAAACAGACAGAATGCTGGGCTAGTTTGTAGCACGACTCGAGAAGTGAAAGCAAAAGAGAGGAAATGAAAAGAGGTGGAAGGGACCGGGAGCGGTGGAGTGAGGTGGGACAGGCGGAGGTGGAGGTGGAGCAGAGTGGAATTATGAGCAGGGCGGACGAGGGGAGGCATGAGTTGCATGGATGACCAAAGGCTTCTCATTTTTCATTACAAAAAGCAGCATGTAAGTACCAGTGAGTGGGGGGCGGTACTTAGCAAAGAGCTCGTACCAGTGAGTGGGAGGCGGTACTTAGCAAAGAGCTCGTACATGGCATCCACCACCACTGCTATCTGCGGGTGAGAGAGGGGGATGGTTTCACGAGAAGAGGTAGAGGTTCAGAGAGGAGGGTGAGGATCAAAGAGCGGGATGAGGAGAAAAGCGTAATCTGAGGGGTGTGCCTACCAATAAGTGACGAAAAGAAGCGGCCACAGAGGAATGTGTGAAGAAAGGCAGAGAGGAGAACAGCAGTTTATGAAAGAAAAGTATACTAAAACAACAGGGGGATTTGGAAAGTAAAACAAAAAGGTTCAGCAGCAGACATTACCACATGGTTGGTGGTGGCATGTGTGGTGGCCCATGTGTTGGCCACGTCGTGCCCATGTGGTGGTTCACATGGTGCCCACGTGGTAACACTGTGGTGCGCACGTGGTAGCACTGTGGTGCGCACGTGGTAGCACTGTGGTGCCCACGTGATAGTACTGTGGTGTCCACGTGGTAGCACTGTGGTGCCCACGTGATAGAACTGTGGTGTCCACGTGGTAGCACTGTGGTGCCCACGTGGTAGCACTGTGGTGCCCACGTCGTAGCACTGTGGTGCCCACGTCGTAGCACTGTGGTGCCCACGTGGTAGCACTGTGGTGCCCACGTGGTAGCACTGTGGTGCCCACGTGGTAGCACTGTGGTGCCCACGTGGTAGCACTGTGGTGCCCACGTGGTAGCACTGTGGTGCCCACGTGGTAGCACTGTGGTGCCCACGTGGTAGCACTGTGGTGCCCACGTGGTAGCACTGTGGTGCCCACGTGGTAGCACTGTGGTGCCAACGTGGTAGCACTGTGTTGCCCACGTGATAGCACTGTGGTGCCCACGTGGTAGCACTGTGGTGCCCACGTGGGAGGAGATCCACACGGCTCTCCTCATAAGTAGCCCCCCCTTCCCTTGCCCATGTAATGAGCTCATAATGGGGGGTAGGTTAGCAGCTACTTGTGAGGCGCCTTGAATGGAAAGGATGGCTTACCTTTGGGGAAGTTGGTGACGTTGATGATCCATCCATCCAGTCCAGCCCCACTGCACCCTAAAATCTTCAGTCCACTCAAAAGTTACTGCTTACGGGCGGGAAAGTGCGAGTGACTGCTTTTGCTGCGCCTAGAACAGAAAGGATTGCGTACCGGGGGGAAGTTGGTGACGTTGATGATCCATCCCAGCCCCACTGCATCGTAGAAGCTGCGGAACGCCTGGTGTGAGGGGCAGGGGAGGGGGGGGGAAGGGGTGGAGGGAGGGAAATTGAGAGTGATCAAAAGCGCCCCAATGAAGATCCACGCTCTCATCCCAACCCCACTGCATTGTAGAATCTGCGGATGGGGAGAAGGGGCATCGAGAGTGATAGAAAGCGCCCCAAAAGAGCCTCCAAATCGTTCCATACTGAGCTGGTGCAACCCCATTGCATCCCAGCCCCACTTTTGAGACGCCTCAAAAGTCAACCCCCATGCATTCCAGCCCCACTTTTGAGACGCCTCAAAAGTCAACCCCCGTGCATTCCAGCCCCACTTTTGAGACGCCTCAAAAGTCAACCCCCGTGCCTTCCAGCTCCACTTTTGAGACGCCTCAAAAGTCAACCCCACTGCATACCAGCCCCACTGCATCCCAGCCCCACTGCATCGTACAAGCTGCAGAGAGGCTGTGCGAGAGGAGGGGAGAGAGGGAAGTGGCGTTAAGAGTGAGTAAAAGCGCCCCAAAAGAGCCTGCAAAGTTGTTACGCACCGAGCCTGGTGCGAGGCCAACCTTTCCCAGGGCAGCTGCATCGTAGAAACTGCTTAAGCCTGTGAGGAAGGGAGGTAAGGAACATGTATGAAGCACTGGGGCTCGAATGGCGTGTACATGCTCCATGTACAGGCTGCATGTATGAAGGAGTGTTTAAAGACGTCTCAAAACACTTCTCCATGTACAGGCTGCAGAATAGGCCGCTACCACTGGTTTATATTCTCACCCCCTTTCTTTACCTTCCCTCTCGACTCACTTGCCCATTAGATTGCATTACGTAGTATGCCCTGGCTCACCTGTGCCTGGCTCACCTGTGCCTGGCTCACCTGTGCCTGGCTCACCTGTGCCTGGCTCACCTGTGCCTGGCTCACCTGTGCCTTGCTCACCTGTGCCTTGCTCACCTGTGCCTTGCTCACCTGTGCCTTGCTCACCTGTGCCTTGCTCACCTGTGCCTTGCTCACCTGTGCCTTGCTCACCTGTGCCTTGCTCACCTGTGCCTGGCTCACCTGTGCCTTGCTCACCTGTGCCTGGCTCACCTGTGCCTTGCTCACCTGTGCCTTGCTCACCTGTGCCTTGCTCACCTGTGCCTTGCTCACCTGTGCCTTGCTCACCTGCCTTGCTCACCTGTGCCTTGCTCACCTGTGCCTTGCTCACCTGTGCCTTGCTCACCTGTGCCTTGCTCACCTGTGCCTTGCTCACCTGTGCCTGGCTCTCTATTAGCTGAACCGTTCATTGTATTCAATAAAGACCGTTCGAGTGTTACGTGCTTCTGCTTGTGAAGGGAGAGAGAGTGTTACACGTTGCTGTGCAGAGGGGGAGAATGTTACGTGCGCACGCAACACTCCAGTCCACTCCACATGCAAACTCATACATTCACATGCCATCTCACACATTCAAATGCCAGCTCATAAATTCACACGCCAACTCACACATTCAAATGCCAGCTCATACATTCACATGCCAACTCACACATTCAAATGCCAGCTCATACATTCACATGCCAACTCACACATTCAAATGCCAGCTCATACATTCACATGCCATCTCACACATTAAAATGCCAGCTCATACATTCACATGCCAACTCACGCATTCAAATGCCAGCTCATACATTCACATGCCAACTCACACATTCAAATGCCAGCTCATACATTCACATGCCAACTCACACATTCAAATGCCAGCTCATACATTCACATGCCATCTCACACATTCAAATGCCAGCTCATACATTCACACACCATCTCACACATTCAAATGCCAGCCCATACATTCACATGCCAACTCACACATTCAAATGCCAGCTCATACATTCACATGCTTACTCACATTCACTTTGCATATCAAATCACATTGAGAACGGAAGTTGGCTTGCTTTGAACCACAGACCTGTGGCTTTGCTTTTGTAGATTTTGTTTTTGGGTTCCATCATTCTGGCGTCTGAATGCGTAAGTGAGACTCATATTTTCCTACGCTTTCATTTTTCCAAGTACAGACTTTGGCGAAACCGAAATTGCGGGCAACAAAGCATATGAACCCTCAATAAATTGTCGGCTCGGCTCACATCCCACTACGAAGCAACTCACGTCCATGCTTTTGACAACTGTGCCGTCTCGAAGGACCCCGTGCATGTGACCCATGGCCTGCCGTGGGAAGTGGAGCAGAATTCAGGAGACTGTTGATATTATGGAATGCTGTTGAGTTGAGACAAGCAAGAGGTTTTCATGATACATGGAATGTTTTCTTAATGGAATAAAAACGAATGTGACTTTATGTACGTGGAGGCAACGGGGGATTTAGATGGGAGGGAGACATGGGATGCACAAAAGAACGGGATATGTACTCCGTCTGACAGTCAATCTTGTTACACTCGTGACACACCTCCTTGTATGTGACTCCTCTGTATTCCTCAGTCGAAATGGACAAAACTTGAACTAATACCATACCATCTTTATCCTCGATACAACAATCATTGTTTCACGCAAGTTAAAGGACACAACCAGAATTACCGTGTCGGCCACAAAACTGTCACTACTTTCACGTGATTGGTCGAAGGTTTTGAGTGGGTTTTTGACGTGATTGGTTCTCGATTTTCCCACCGAACCTCCTTCTGGGGTTTTCCGAACCTACAGTTTGTTCGTTGACTTTGTTGTGTAATTCGGGGTGTGGCCTTTAAGCGTGTGAAAAAATCCAGCTTATAGATTACAACTGTCTTTATCCTCGTTACCCTCCTCATCTCATACTCGACTCCGCCATTTTCATCGAGGAGATATGAGACGAGGAGGGTAACGAGGATAAAGACAGTTGTAATCCTCCTCCTCATCTCATACTCATCTCATACTCGACTGCTCGAATCATACTCCTCTGAGGAGATATCCATAAACTTGGATGTGTGATGTTCCGTTTTATAGACTACTACCTTCGGTAACTTCGCTACAACCACTCTCTCGTTACACACATACACACACCTCTTCGTACTCGACGCCGCCATTCTCATCGGGGTCATGATCCTCTGAAGAGATATTTACGAACTTGAGCGTTTGGAACTTCCCCTAGAAACGACTGCAAAATGTATCCTCGTTACAAGCCCCAATGATCACCCTCCTTGTACGCACCTCCTCATACTCGACTCCGCCATTCTCATCTGGGTCATAATTCCCTGAGGAGATGTTCACGAACTTGAGCAAGTGAGAATCCATTGGATGACTCCTACCTTTCTTATCCTCGTTACAACAACTCTCTTTACACGCACCTCATTGTACTCGACTCCGCCATTCTCATCGGGGTCATAGTCTTCTGAGGAGATATCCACAAACTTGAGCGTTCGAAACCCCAACTTATAGACTGCTACCTTCTTTATCCTCATTACAACCGCTCTCTTTACACGCACCTCCTCATACTCGACTCCTCCGTTCTCATCGGGGTCATAGTCTTCGGAGGAGATGTCCACAAACTTGAGCGTTTGAAACTGCTGGTTGCGCGCCGAGAGGAACTCCACCTGCAAGACGGAGGGGGGTGGGTGGGTGGGTGGGCGGTGAAAAATGAGATAGAAGGGCGATTCATGCACCTCAAAAAGCGGACTTGAGTGTTTGGAAGTGCTTGTTGGAACTCCAGGAAGGAACTCGACGTGCAAGAGGTCGGAGTGTGGGTAGGCGGTGGGATGGGAAGGGGGAAGAACGACACTTCATCCACCTCAAAAGGAGAACTTGAGTGTTTGGAAGAAGGAAGGAACTCCACGTGCAAGAGGACGGAGTGTGGGTAGGAGGAAGGGAGGAACTCGACCTGCAAGTGCGACCTTTCTCTCTAACACGCACACCTGGCAGCCTCTCTCTCACCTGCTTCATGCAGATTGGGCAGTCCCCATCATATAACACCTTCACCTTCCACGCGTCACTCTCCTGTGGCTCTGCTGACGTCGCGCTCTCTGCCTGAGCTGCTGCAAAGGCTGTTCCGGCTGGTGAGAGGAGAGCGGGGGTCAGGAGGTTGAGGATGGAAGAAGGGAAACGGAGGGACGAAGGGATAAGAGGGGAAGGGAGGACAAACAGGAACGGAGTCGTTATCATGATCATGTTTTGGTCCAAAGCAAAAAAGGATGAATAGAGGCTGAGATGGGCGAGGAGGGACAAGCGTAGTGTACAACCAAGGAGCGTATTCTTACAGCGTTCTGTAATCTTTTGTGCGTTAACGGGTTCTCTTCTAGAGGGAAGCGTGTGCTGCATATAACCAAAGCCCATGACCTCAAATATGAGAGCATAGACAAAAGAAAGGACCCACCTCGTAATCTTGATGCTCCCGAGGGCGTGGGTGGGCAGTAGGTGTTGAGCAGTACATGGCTGCTCGCGCTTCTGAAGCTGCTGCTGCTCCTGCTGCTGATGCACACCCTGCTCGTGCTTGTACCGGAGTGGTGGCCGCGTGACAGAAACGAAGCCACAGGCGCCGGAGAGGCTGACGGGTGGCTCAGATTCGGCGAGGATCGCTGCAGGGCGAGGCTTGTGAGGGTGGTGGGGGTTGAGAGGCGGTAGGTGGACGAGAGGGCCGCAGCCTCCATGGGCGATCCTGCGGGTGTGGGGTCGCATGAGATCAACACACACAGGGGAAGGGTGGCCATTGAACCAAGACAATAGGAACGTAGGCTCCACGAGCGATCCTGCGGTGGGGGTTGAGAGGCGGTAGGTGGACGAGAGGGCCGCAGCCTCCATGGGCGGTCCCGTGGGTGTGGGGTCGCGTCACCACAGGGAAGATCAAGGGCGGAACCATTAGAGGCAGAGACATCAGCAGAGTTATGAGAGCGACACGGAGCAGAGGGATGACCGAGACACGGAGAGCGGAAGGAGAGACCTGGAAGAAACAGATAAAGTGGGAGTGAGCGTCAACGACCGCACCGTACGCGTGAGTGTGACCGTCCCTTCGGTAGCCTTAGGTCCCTTTAGTAGGCGCCAACACCCGAAGAAAGTATTGTTATCGCAGAAAGTTATTAGCAGCACCATTCGAATTTTTGCCTCCGTTATAAGTTCCGCCGTTCCTCCTCATTCGCCCGCCCAGTTTTGTCACCGTGTCTCTTCTTGCACAACGTTAGCCGCGCCTATCGGTTCTTACTCTGCCGCATTCAGTCTCCTTGTTCTGGTTCCTTATTCCGTCCCATTCTGCCTTTATTTCCGATACCTTCTTCCGTCTCATTATGTCTTGTTGTGATTCCTTTAACTCAACTCATTCTGATCTCTTATTCCGCCTCATTCCGTCTTATCCTGACAACCAGAGCTGCTAGAACTTCAACACACCGTTGCGGTCATTACCTTGAGCGACGGAGATCGCCCGTTCTAATCGTGAACGGAAGGGTTGTCGATGCCAAGCCGAACACAGCACACCCTCTCAAACACACAACGCACAGCGGGATTACTCGAAATGCGTAGCGGAAGAGAGCGAGGGAGCGAGACAAGCAGAACTGAGAAGGGGCGTGCTTTCCGAGCCGAGTGTATAACAAGAACCGATGTCCTTAGTACGTGTAGTTCTTGCGTCTCGCTCGGCAAAATCAAGGCTACGACTCAGATTCATGACAAAATCAAAGCTCAAGCTGGGTGACAGGTGGACACTTGCCAAAAAGGTACGCTTTTATTGCGCAATATCTGACCACTCGTTCACCACCATGCCCCTACAGTAGGTGACACGTTGCCCAGCAGAAAACAATTAGGACCCAACTCCCAAGACTCCTTCGAGTGTGAGCACACAGGCACAACCGAAACATCCTCGTAAAAAAAGCCATGACGAGCCTGACGAGATCTGCGAATTCTAAACGAGGAATATGAGCAAATGCGAGCCCAGCATCACGACATTCGCGAGGATTAACGAAGTGATTGCAGACTCAACGAGAAAGGATACGGGTAACGGGAGATCTTCTTCCTCAACGACCACCGCCTATCTGCCAGCACGAGCAACCCCGCCCCGCATCGCTGGTTCCTGAGTCCTGACATGGCACGAACGGTCAGATCCACGTGCTGAGGAACTGGCGCGTGGTGCAAGAAAGGTGGAGTGGTGGGAGATTGTGGTGGCGGTGTGTCCCGATTGGTGGTCACCACGACACCTGGCTGTGATCTGGGCAGAATGGGCAGAACTTCGCTGCCCAGTGCCAGCCAGAAGCCCACGCGCTGACGTGGAAGTAAACTTCACTCGAAGTTGGTGCAAGTTCCATTGGGCTCTTATGGAGTATTTCCGCACGAGACGGTATGAAGAGAGAATTTCTCCAGACCCGGAAACGGTGATTTGCCGTTGCACACGTGGCGTCGAATTGCTACCGTGGTCGGACAATTAGATGATAATTGCTCGAGTGGTCTTGCCAGAGGTTTCCTCTGGCTTTTTTTTTTATCCGGCACATTACCCAAAACCGGTTTTTAGCCCTGCTTTTCTTACGTCGTTCGTGTCTCTTCCCGCAAAAACGTGGCGTGTGATTTTCCGCCCGAATTTTTCGGCTGGGTGACGTGCGCGAGGGCGGCCACGTCACCGTTTGAATACACGACAATAATCAACACGATCATCTTGGGCGAACAGTTGCGCTCATTTTCGGTCCAATTCTTGACCAATCCGCGCATAAAGATATGAATCCCCGATCATATACTCAGTTGCACGACTGTCCACACGCGCGACCAATTACAGAGCGCGTCTGATTGGTCGACTTTATGCACGAAGTACTTTTTTGCCCTGCGCGTCCAATCAGGCGCGGTCATGTAAGATCGCGCTCATATAAAACCGCGCATTTACCTATATGAGCGCGCATATGTGGTGCTCGATGTCATAACATTATAGCTTACTCATTTGTGTAGGCTATAGTGGGGTATCCCATAGGGGGTACAACCCAATTAGGGTTTCATATTTGTACTCACTTCATTCATAGTTCATTCATTCTCGTTCACTTCTTCTCATGGTATCGAGCAGGTTCCCCTGTGGGACCTGTGCTTAGGGCCCACCACCTCGAAACGTCTTTTTTTTCTGCCCTAGCCGCTAGCGCACCGCCCGCCCTCGAACGTGAGCGCCGCCCTAGCGCCCGTCCGCTGCCTACTCTAGTGCTAGCCGCCCGACGCGCCGCCCACAGCGCTGCCCGACGCGCTGCCCTAGCGCCGCCCTAGCGCCGCTCGACGCGCCAGCCTAGCGCCGCCCGACGCGCTGCCCGACGCGCCGCCCTAGCGCCGCCCAACGCGCCGCCCTAGCGCAGCCCGTCGCGCTGCCCGTGCAGCCGCCCTAGCGCCGCCCGTCGCGCTGCCCAACGCGCCGCCCGTAGCGCTGCCCGCTGCCCGCCCTAACGCCGCCCGTCGCGCTGCCCAACGCGCCGCCCACGCGCCGCCCTAGCGCCGCCCGACGAGCAGCCCGTGCAGCCGCCCGTGTGCCCGCCCGTGCACCCGCCTGTATACCCGCCCGTGCACCTGCCCATACACCTACCCGTGCGGCCGCCCGTGCACCCGCCCGTGCACCTACCCGTGCGGCCGCCAGTGCCGCCGCCCGCGAGCAGCCTTCGAGCCGCCCCAGCAGCCCGTGCAGCCGCCCCATTCGCCCGTGAGCCGCCTCGGCCGCCTGTGCAGCCGCCCGTGAGCCGCCCGCTCGCCGCACCAGCCGCCCGTGCTGCCGCCTGTGAGCCGCCCGCGAGCCGCCCGCGAGCCGCCCGCCGGACGCCCACGCCGCCCGAGCCGCCCGAGCCGCCCACGCCGCCCGAGCCGCCCGAGCCGCCCGAGGAGCCGATCTTCTGCTCCTGTGGGGCTCCCACTGCACCTGGGCCGGCGCAGCTGCTGTACTGCCGTGTTGCTGTGCCGCTGTGCTTCCCGACTCTTCCTGCCCGGTGAGACTGTCAGCTGCTACAATGGCCACCCCCACTGTCCTGAGTTTTGACGCTGAGGGTCGCGCCATTGATTTTGCAGTCTGGATTGAGGACCTGCAGCTGTACTTACTGTGCGATGCGATCGATGAGGTTTCTCTCTTTGACTTTGTCTCTGGCGCTGTCCCTGCCCCTCCTGCTGATGCTGACCCCACTGTTCGCTCCAAGTGGGCCACACGCGATGCTGCTGCACGTCTTGCTGTGCGTCGCCACCTCCCTTCCTCCGAGCGTGCACACTTTAGTCAGTGCAAGACCGCTCAGGCCTTGTACGACGCTGTAGTTGCGCGCTACTCCTCCCCTTCCACTGCTACACTGAGCCGCCTCATGCTACCGTACCTCTTCCCTGACCTTGCTGCCTTTCCCACAGTCACTGACCTCTTTACCCACCTTCGCGCTAGTGACACTCGCTACCGAGCTGCGCTTCCTGCTGCCTTCCTCTCTGAAAACCCCCCTCCCATGTACATCACCCTCTACTTTCTAGTCACCCGTCTCCCTGAGTCCCTTCGTGCTGTTAGGGACCAGTTTCTCTCTGTCTGTCCCACCACCCTCACTGTCGACCTCCTCGAGAAGTCCCTGCTAGCGGCCGAGAAGAGCATAGTCGCTGTAGGGGCCTCTCGTGGTGACCCGCGCACCCCCATCTTTGAGGGGTGTTCTCCTTCCCCCCTGTTACCCTCTGTCGCCTCTTCTGCTGCGGCCGACCTCGTTGGTTTAGAGTCGGTCGATGCGGCGTCTGCCCCCAGCGGTAGGCGCCGCTCTGGCAGGAGCAAGGGAGGCAAGGGAGCGGGTGGAGCTAGCGGGGGCGGTGGCGGAGGAGGTGGGGGCGGCGGGGGGAGTGGGGGTGGCGGTGGGGGTGGAGCCGGGAGTGGAGGTACTGGTGGCGGCAGTGGAGGCGGAGGTGGCAGCGGAGGTGGTGGCGGAGGTGGCAGTGGGAGCGGCGGGGGCGAGGGTAGCGGTGGCGGCGGTGGCGGCGGAGGCGGAGGTGGCGGTGGTGGAGGTGGTCGGAGTGGCTCGTCCCAGCGGGGCAGCACTGGGGGTGGTCAGCGCCAGCAGCAGCAGCAGCAGCAGCAGCAGCGCTCTCGCGACGTCCCCGCTCCTCAGCAGCTCCGTGAGTGGTACTCGCAGCGTCAGCGTGGTGGGGCGTTCGGTCCCTGCGCCTACGTCCTTCGCACCGGCGACCGCGCGGGTGAGCAGTGTGGGGGCACCCACACCGCTCGTCGCTGCTTTGCCCGCTTGACCGACGCTTGGCGCCAGCAGTTTCCGGAGGCCTCTGAGATCCCCCGCTGGGGAGAGCTGTCTAGGGCTGGTGTAGCTGTTTTTGATCTTGACTTTGATGCTATCCTTGCTGCCATGTATGCTGTGACTGTTAGTGATGATGGTGACTGTTACCGGTGTTTCCCGCCCGACCCGGGCATTGGTACTGCTGCGTCAGGTGCCAGTGAGGCTGCTGCTCTAGGTGCCAGTGCGTCTGTGCTCTCAGGTACTGGTGAGTCTGCCCTCTCAGGTACTGTGTCGGCTTCTGCCTCTCACACCTTCACCCTTGACTCTGGGGCGTCTCGCTCCTTCTTTCGGGACCGCACCACTCTCACGCCGCTTAGTCGGCCTGTTGCGGTGTCCCTGGCTGACCCCTCTGGGGGTCCTGTCCTGTCTCGTTTCTCCACAGTCATCCCGTGTCCGGCGGCTCCCTCTGGCACCCTGACTGGTCTTTACCTCCCCTCGTTCTCTACGAACCTGGTGAGTGGTGCTGACCTACAGGATGTGGGTGTCCACCAGTTCACTCCTGCTCGTCAGCGGGTGACACACTGCACAGAGGCTAGCACAGGTCGCCACCTGGCTACGTTTACACGTCAGCCAGGGTCGAGCCTGTACACACTGACCACTGCTTCTCCTCCCGGTGCTGAGTCTGGTAGAGTCCCTTCGTCTGGTCAGGTGTTTGCTGCAGCGTCCAGGTCTGGTCCTGAGTCTGCCCCCTGTTCGTGTCGCCGTCTGTCTCACGAGACTCTCCTCTGGCACCACCGCCTTGGCCACCCCTCTCTGCTTCGGCTCAGAGGCATGGCCTCCCGTCTTCTTGTGTCTGGTCTCCCCCGGTCCCTCCCTCCCCTTCCTCAGGGCCCTGGCCCTGCCTGTGTCCCCTGTGTCGAGGGGCGCCAGCGTGCTGCCCCTCACTCCTCCCAGTTTCCTCCGACAGAGGCTCCGTTGCAGACACTTCACATGGACGTGTGGGGCCCTGCCCGCGTCCGTGGACTCGGTCACGAGCGCTACTTCCTGTTGGTGGTTGACGACTACTCGCGTTACACCATAGTCTTCCCCTTGCGCAGCAAGGGTGATGTCACTGAGGTGCTGATCGACTGGATCCGCGCAGCTCGTCTCCAGCTCAGGCAGAGCTTTGGCTCGGACTTTCCTCTGTTGCGTCTGCACTCGGACAGAGGCGGAGAGTTCTCTTCTGGCCTTCTGCGTGCCTTCTGTCATGCGCGAGGCATCCGCCAGACCTTCACGCTTCCGGACTCACCGCAGCAATTGCAGAGTTCCGCATTGGCATGGTCATGGACGTCGCTCGTACGTCTATGATGCATGCGGTTGCCCCCCATTTTCTGTGGCCGTTTGCGGTCAGGTACGCGGCGCATCAGATCAACCTCCACCCCAGGGTCTCCAGGCCGGAGACCTCCCCAGCCCTACCGCGATGCGTCGGCGTTCCGGGTCTGGGGATCTCGGGCGTTAGTCCGCGACTTGTCTGCGGACAAGCTGTCCCCTCGCGCTGCTCCCTGCGTCTTCCTGGGGTTCCCCCCCGACGCCCCTGGGTGGCAGTTCTACCACCCCATCTCTCGACGTGTTCTGTCCTCCCAGGATGTCACGTTCGACGAGTCGATACCCTACTACCGCCTCTTCCCCTACCGCACTCCGTTCCTCCCCCCGCCCCCACTCTTCTTGGTACCAGGTCCTGTGGAAAACTGAACGAGAATGAATGAACTATGAATGAAGTGAGTACAAATATGAAACCCTAATTGGGTTGTACCCCCTATGGGATACCCCACTATAGCCTACACAAATAAGTAAGCTATAAAGTTCTGACACACCCCCATAGGCAAAGTGGGGGAGAACAAGGGGTCACAAACCCAGTCAAGCAAAGCAAAGCAAAGCTCAGGGTGGATCACAAAGTCACCACACATTCCGAGCACAAGGTCAAGGGCCACAAGGCCAGTTCGCATGCAAGATCATATATAGAGATATACAAGAGTCAAGCAAGCAAGAGCAAGAGTATATATAGGTCAAGGTACAAGCAAGGTCAAGAAGTGAGCAAGTGAGGCAAGACAGGCACAAGACCCAGCTGCGTG